GAGCCCTCGGAGTCTACGACATCTTATCCAACCGAACAAAAGCTGATGCGGCGCCAGCGCGAGCAGGAAATGCTCAAGCAAGGCCGTCCTTTGCAAGTCCGCAAGAAGAAGAAGTCTGTGGAGCAGCACTTCGATGATTGTGGCGAGGATCTGTCAAGCCTTAAGCTGCCTGTCCGAGAGTACCTCACTCTTGGAGTCCCTGATTGCGAAGATGAGGCAGCTGAGTTGGTATATCACTTGATTTCCCAGCAGATGAATGCCTTTACCACGTGCGGAGCCGTGAGCTCCTCTTCGTTTACGTTCCCCGATGCCTCGCCAGGTACAGTGCATGCGGTGGATCTAGATGAGGCGTTGTCGCTACTGGACAATCCAGCCTATGCGTCATGGGGCGCCGAGGTGGTTGAGCTGTACGGCGGAAGTGGTCTTTCAGGTCAGTTGTGCATCCGCCGCAAGTTGGTTACAGGCCAGTGTCTTGACCTGGTAACTAGCGCCTGCTTCTCTGATGCTGGCACTCAGAGAAAACTCTTCAACTACTTGTCGCATGCTCAGCCGTTCCTTGTCATTTTGGCCCCCAAAAGCAGTGCAGGCGCAACACCTTACTTCAATGCCCACGTGTCTGCAGCCCGTCTTCGTGCCGTGGGTCACAATGAAGCCGCTGAGCTATCCTGCTTCGTAGGTAAGGTTGCCCAGCACCAGGTCCAAAGCAATCGCTTCTTTCTGTGCGAACAGTCTTATCCCTCGCAGCTGTATCAGGTAGAGCCCTGGCCTGCTCTCAGAGCCCGCGAGGATTGCTATCGCGTTGTTCTTGATCAGTGCATGTTGGGCCCACAGCCTGACGGTCAGTTGCTCAAGAAGCCCACGGAGCTGGTAGCAAATGCCGTGCATATCTTGCAGCCATTCGCAAATGTTCGGTGCAACGCTGCCCACGTCCATGCACAGACAGTGCGTGAGCCATTGCAGCCTTCCCAGCCGTGGCCGTATGAGATGCGCCGGCGTACTGCCCAAGGCATTGAGAAGCTGACCGAGGCAATGCTAGCCCGAGGCCCCGGTTACTTTTCCTCCTGTCTAAGTGCCGAAACCGCTGCCGCTTACCCTAGTGTAGGCTCAGGCCCCGGTGATGAAGGGACAGTCGAGGTTCCTGAGGAATGGCGAAAATGCAAGGGATGCCTCTGGCGTCTTGACAAGAACAATCCTCTGCACAGTCGTGTCCGCGGCCAGTGCAAGCATCCGGATGTAGAGTCCATTGTGTTTGATTGCCCTGCATGCCGCAAGAACAAGAACCGAGCCGACCCAGGCCACACCTTTGGGCCTGATTGTCGTCATGTAGTGTCACAGCCACGTAAAAGCTCTGCCAACCGCCGACCTTATGGTCGCCTGCCTGCGCGAGCTGAACCCACAGCCGGTCTTCGTGGCTCTGACCTTGGGCGAGCAGAGGAGCAAGCTGCTGAGGACGCTATTCCTCCATCCGGTGTAGATCGTGTGGGAGCCCCTTCCAGCTCCAGCCATGAGCCGTGCCCCATAGCCGCCGCAGAGCGTCGCGCTGAGGAGGCAGGTCAAGACGCTTCAGACGCTCGTGCCCCAGAGCCCTCAGCCGCACTCGATGCAGGTGCGCCTCCACGAGGAAGAGGGCCAGATGTAGAGCCAAGGCATCGTCGTACTTGGGCTGAGGGGGAGGCCCAGACTCCGATCCCCTCGGACTGGTCTTCCTTCGATGTGCAATCTGCTCCGCTACCAGCTCGAAAGCTGGATAATGGGCTCAACTGTTTTCTCTAACCAAAAGCTGAAAGTAATCCTGGGCACCCACGCTGCGGTCCCCGCAAGCTGAGGGTCGTCAAATGCACAATGAGTAACAGGATTATTATAAGAGCCCCAAAAGGTTAAACCCTAAACCCTAAACCCTACTCAGCCACTAAGATAGATCTCGTGCTTGTGCCAGCCCACATCGCCGCAATAACCCCTCTTCGGGCCAAACGAAAGGACTCTGTGGACCAAACTACTCCTAGGGTTTAAGGTTTAGGGTTTAGGGTTTTGGGGTTTTGGGTTTAGGGTTTAGGTACTAAGCCTCCAGACAGCGCTACAAAGCCTGAAGTGATTGATGACCGGAACAACTGAAACCTTCCTGCCAAGCTCCGGCACGGAACTGACCTGCAGGCACCAACTCGCCAACAAACCCTCGAATCCGAAAATGTCGAACGTAGGTGAACAAAGACGTGCTCCAAGATAGGATTCTCCTTTCGACTGAGACTGCACCACAAGGAGGACCTGTGATCCGGAACACTTGCACTGGTGAGGCAAATCCTGCATTGCTTACCTACTCTGAACTATTGGAACCATGCATCCTGCCTGCAGGCTCTAAACTGTTGCAGCTAAACACGGATTTGCCTATCTCCATGTTGCCTAGCCACTTCCTCACCACCGCTTCGGTACGAGATGGCTGCATCGATGCCTCGTCCTCCTCAGAAGCCAAGACTTACAACACTCAGCAACGGCTGAAGTCCCATGATCAGCCTGTGAACGTATGGTACGTCATTAGTTACTGTTGATGGTGTTGGTAAGAATCAGAAATAGGATTCCGATTATCATTACAAGTTCTTCTTACCATGCTAAGTTTGAGGATAGTCATCGCGTCTAGCGCAAAATCCGAACACTGTTATATTGCCGATACCGCGGCCAGAATGATACAATGCTACAACTACTCGTAGCATTGCGAGGAATGTTATTGTGATTGTATACTGCTTTCGTTTCTGCAATCAAGGTGCCGATGATGCTGTTGCTGGTGCTGGCCAAGATTCTTGTCGACATCCGAACCACCGCGGTGATGTCTCGATTAATGCCATGTGTGGCACCGCTGCCGATGATGATGATGATGATGATGATGATAATGATGTTATTTCAGCCGTACAGATAAGATAGCAAGACCCCCATGGCGATGTCATGCTTGATGACATGCATGGTGCCAATGTGGTTAATGATGAAGATTAGGATGGTGATGATGTTGGTGATGTTGATGGTGATGGGGTGATGAGGATGATGATGATGATGGTGGTGATGCGGATGATGATGATGAGGATGCGGATGATGATGATGATGATGATGATGTTGATGGTGATGGGGTGATGGTGATGATGATGATGATGATAATGCGGATGAGGATGATGATGACGAGGAGGAGGATAACAATGACGATGTCAAGAGGAAGATGATGGTCATGACGACTACACAGGTGCTAAGCTCCTATATCGAAGTCGTCCGCCCGCTTGGTGGTAGACTTCGATATTCATACACCATGAGACCCCGAAGGCACCCCCACAGTTTAATTACACATGACGATTCTGCAAAAGCGTGTTATTACACGCATATTGCCTGTCATGTGGGGTGACCGCATTGGGCAGGAAGCGCTTTAGCTTGAAAATAACAGATACTCTGAAGGGAACCGCAATCTCCGTGTGGCATCCATCAAGTGTCGATGTGGCCCACATTGTATGTTGGCCCCTTAAAACTGTGACAAGATTCTTTCACAAGTAACAAAACCCAGCCGGTCAGGAACATAAAAACATACACAAATATCTCAGTTATTGACATGTCGATGTATACAAATGTATATATACGTATGTATGTCCCTAAACACCTGCTGAATTTTTATGCACGTATTTATCACATATAAGAGACTATGCCAATGGCCTGCGTGATGCTTCAGGGTTTAGGGTTTAGGGTTTAGGGTAACCCTAAACCCTAAACCCTAAACCCTAAACCCTAATCCCTAAACCCTAAACCCTAATCATGCAAGGCTCAGACAGCCCGCAGGTGGTGCTGATGATCGACCAGGATGCCATGGAGTCCCCCGAGGAAGACTGCACCTCATGGGCTTAGGGTTTAGGGTTTAGGGCCTTCAGGGCTTCTTTTTTAAAGTTGGGTGGGTTTAGGGTTTAGGGTTTAGGGTTTAGGGTTTAGGGTTTAGGGTGGAGGGTTTAGGGTTTAGGGTGGAGCTGAGTGCGAGTTGCATTTGGAGGGGTCGAGATTCGAAGGTCTCGTCGGGCCG